ATAAATTTTAACTTTAATTGTGAAACATTTCGCACAAATTTTTTTCTTAAATTTTTCTGTTGTTTTTTTTTTTCATATCTTTTGCTTCAGATCTTTTTTTCCCACTTTTAGTTTTAGTTCTTCTATCCTCTCTTTTTTCTTAGTCTTTTTTTCTAATATTTATATAATTATTATTTAAAATAAGTCACGCGCGCTTTTTAAATTTCTCTTAGTAAGGTGAAAAGTACACCCCGATCATAAAATTTCTCTTAATCTAATGGTTCGCATCAACCATTAAATTTTTCACTTTAAATCCAATGGTAAAGATTTATTTGTATTCTATAAATAGCCTTATTCATATTCTAAAAAAACAAAAAGGGAAAATCTTATTGAATAAGCTATAAAGAGCCTTATTCGTACTCTAAAAATAAAATAAAATAAAAGTCTTTAATAGTAAAATTTCTATTTCAACTCCAAATTAATTAATTTGATCTTTCTCTCACTAAAACTCTCTTTCTCTCTCTAATTTGATAGTTTCAGGAAGTCAATCCTCATTTGCAAAAGAAGATTCCCTTTCATCTGTGCCCCCTAGCTATTTTTAGATTTCCCCTCCTCTTAAAAATTGAGTTCTACACTTCATTGGCTGTCCACGTTACTTTTCATTTACACGCGTAATTCCAAATCCAAACTTCGTTTGGTTTCCCAAAATAGTAGAATATGGCTAGATCGATCATACCTTCGCAAGTGGGAATATATTATAATTATTATGCACAATGAAAAAGAGACACGTATTTGACTAAATTAAATCAGATAGTTTAGTTCCTCAAAAAAAAAAAAAAAAAAAAAAAGACAGTTTAGAAACACTATTTGACAATAACGTATAATCTCTTTTATTAGTTCCATAAAAAAGAAAAAAGAAATTGTAGTGTAGGTGGCCTCATCAAACAATTATTATACAAATAGCCAGCGGGATTCGTGTGGCAGTAATGAAAGGGCAAAATATTACACTAATGTAACCTTTTTGTTTACCATAGCAAAAAATAAGGCCACTAGTACTCTTATTGGGTCATTTGTTTAGACATTTTTGGTTATATAAACAGCCGACAATCTAAAATAATGAATGCAAAAACAGTGACCAAGCTAAAAAAATTCTTTTAGAGGGGACTTGAGTTAAACTAAAATTTTAAATTGAATTGATTGTATAATAGAGTATAGTTAGAATTAATTATCATAAACAAGGTTATATACATAACATATCTAATTCAAAAAGGATGTATTATGTAATAGTATAATCTATTACATAATACAAATGAAAATTTAAAACTTTCTTTTATTTTTAACTTGATGTTTTGTATGGTTTTATTGTTTATTTATTTATTTATTTATCTTACAAAGAAAATGACTAATTAAGTAAATAAGACACCGCGAATATTCTAAATCCATGATGGGAGAATCTACCCAGTAATTAAATCCGCTTTATTGTCATTCCTATACATATAGTGTATGTGGATTTTTCATTTTAAGATTTTTTTTTTTTTTGCGCGGAAAAGTTATAGAAGAAAGTCTAAACGCGATCCAAATTGTTTGTGCAATGATATAAGAAACCTTTGAAAGAAAAAATAAAATAAAAAACTAATCCACGCAAGGAATATACTGTACAATGAATTTTAGTGCAATAAATAAATGAAGGTGATAAACGAGAAAGTGATGTGATATTATAGGAGCATTTTATATATGATAATAGTAGTAGATGATGGAATTGGGTAGAATGGATGAAAGTCGTTGCAGAATATATATATATATAGATATATATTTTAAAAGGAGTTGTGCATGATGTACTCCTGCTCTCTTCTATAAAAGGCCAGTACATATACAAAGCTCTAATCTCACAGCAATATGGGAATTTCTCAGATTAAAAAAATAAAAACTGGTAGTTTTTTCTTTTTGGTGTATGATATGTATAAAAAATTAATTGTTAAACGTATTTTTTTTTATCTAATATAATTTTAATAAGATTTAATTGTTAAAAATTAACCTACGAATAAAGAATATCTGCTAGAAAAAGTGCTCAACAATATTTCCTCCCTCTAAGTCTCTTAATTATATATAAACCAAAAAAGTAATGCAAAAAAAATTAAAAAAAAAAGGAAGACCAAATAATAGATAATCTTGATAAATATTCTTTAAAAGTGTATGAGTCAAAATTTTTACCATTTACTCTTAATTCATAATCTTTTTAGTTAAATAATTAAATTAACAAAGAATATTTATTAAAAATAAAATGTAATAATTCATACTCAAACACTCTCAATAATAAATTATCTTTATTTTCAATGCAACAATAGGGCTCAGAAAACAAACAATTAAATAGTAAAAACGATTAGTGCGTCGCATATGCGATGGTTATTTAAAAAAACGTTAAGATTTAAAGAAAAGAAAAGTCTAAAAAAAAGCACCAAAAACAAAAGCCCATCACATCAATAATTATATTGACAGAAAAAAAAAAATCAACTAAAGACGACTTTAAAAATGAAGATATGCACTGGTAGGTCGGTCTACCAGTCACGTTAATTTTTAATTCTTAAATTTAGTTAAAATTATATTAAATTAAAAAATATATAAAATAAATATTTTTTAATATAAATTTAACAGTTAAAAAATATAAAATTATTGGTAGTATATTTTTTTTTTTAATCTTAATCTTATAGATAAACTCTTTAAACATGAAAAACCATCATATTAATAAGATAAAAAAAAGTTTCTCTCGTAGAGATTATATTAATGTGTATCGAATCATTGATTACGAACATACTGAGGGAATCACCAATGGAAAAAGGTCTTGCCCATAAATGAGAGTATGGCTGGTACATGGGTTAAGTCAGTGCGAAATAGAGTTTGTTGTTACTCTTTAAAAAGTGTGGGTTGCACATATTTAGTCTTAGTGATGTTAAAAATATTTCACAACGCAATAATATTTAGGTTGGGTTGGGGTGGGGTGGGGTGAGTTAGGTGGTCGGGTTCATCGTTTAAAGAATCAAAGTTCAATTCAACATTTAAAGTTCATCATCAAATAGAAATAATAACTCCAACATTCAAAATTCATCATCAAATAATACTAATCATCAAATATAAACAGTACTGATAATCAAACATAACTTCAACATTCAAAGTTCATCATCAAATAGAAATAATACTAATTAGTCCATCATCAAATAGATAGTAATTTAAAGTTCAATCCAACATCAAACATGAAGCAAAGTAGTTCATCCAACATCAAACATAAAGCAAACATAAATTAGAAACTTAATTCAAATCCATCCAAAACAAGTACTGTAATAATAACTATCTTTATCAGTCTACACTCATAGGCTCTTTATCAGGCGTGTTTGTGTAGGTTGGGGTGGGGTGTGCAGGTTATTATAGGTTCAACCCACAAACCGTCCTAAACACCTCGAACCAGACATTTAGTGGGCTGAAAAATAAAAAATAATGTTATAAGTTGTCTTTTTTGAATTGAGTTAGGATGAGATTAGTTGGATTTACAGATTGTTTTGAGTTTATATACAGGCCTGAATGAGGAAATCAAAGAAATTAGTCCTCTAAAAAATATAAGAATACTCACCCGCTACGCGCGTGTTTCAACTAATAATAATGAAAAAGCTGATGATGTGCTTCCGAATTTCATTCGTTGAGGACAAGTTTCTTGTCCCTTATGTAGCTTTATGAACTAATACTAATAAGCTTTTTTTGTTTTTTTACACGGACACTCTTTTGTTATTATTTTTTAAAAATCTTCACGATTAAAGTATTAATCGCCAACGATTCTGATCACATGACTTACACGGGAGTGTCTGTTAATAGCAATGAAGGGTGTTTTAACAAGGATTTTCATTTCCACCGTAATTCCAAATCTAAACTTTGATTTGCTTTCCCAAAATAAAAGAATATGGTCCGCAAGTGGAGTTATATTATAATTATCCTGCATAATAAAAAAAACAACACATATTTGACTAAATCAAATCGAATATGACAGTTTAGATATATTATTTGACAATAATGTATTATCTCTTTTATTATTCCATAAGAAAGAACCCTTCGATGTGATTGTAGTATAGGTGGCCTCATCACACAATTATTATAGAAAGAGCCAACGGGATTCACGTGGTTTGAAACTTAGCAAAGAGGAATTGCAATCAATTAAAATCAACTACCACAAAGATGTGGCAGTAATAAAAGGACAAAATATTACGCTATTGTGACCTTTTTGGTTACCATAGCAAAAACTAAGGCCACTAGCACTCTTAGCGACTAATTTGTTTAGGAGAGAAAGAGGAAAATGGGTTAAGACTTGAGATGAATTAAAATTAATAGGCCAATAGTTTACATAAGTTAATAGATATGCCAAATTACTGTTTTCGTCCATAACTTGTCTGGTTATAAGCCATAACTTGAAAAGTTATTGCCATAAATCACAATTTTTGTACATAACTTGTTTGGCTATGAACCATAACTTGACAAGTTTGTCCATAACTTATTTGGTTATGAACCATAACTTAACAAGTTATGGCCTATTAATTTTTATAACTAAAAATTAACCTATATACTTTCTTAAACTTTTTCATATCGACCTATTTTCTACTATTTCTGTTTGTTTATTAACGTTTGGTTATACAGTCAGCCAGCCGCTTATATACAAAATACTGGATACGGTGTGATGTGGTAATGTCTGCAGATTTTCCTATTTTTTACCAGAAAGCAAATATGTTTTTGAGAGGTTAAAGAAAGTCTTTCTACATTTCAGTCAGATATTTATTATTGTTTCTAAAAAAGTCTCAACGCGGGCCAAATTTTTTGTGCAGTTACATAAGAAACCTTTGAAAATGATGTATCATTATATATATATATACAGCAAATATGTTTTTGATAATATATAATAATAATAATAATAATAATAATAATAATAATATAACGGAATGTGTTGAATGGATGAAAAGCGTTGCAGAATTGAAAGATGTCTTCCAGCTCTCTTGTATAAAAGGGCAATAATTACAAAGCCTTTTTCTCACACCAATATATCCTGCCTCTTCTAAGTCGCTTAATTTTATATAGCTACCGTCACTTATCCTCTAGGAGAAAAAATGTCGTCTGATCTCTATGGTAAGCTTGAGACAGATGTAGAAATCAAAGCTTCATCTAGTCAATTCCATCACATGTTCACACACAAACCTCACCACATATCCAATGCCTCCTCTGACAAAGTTCAAGCTTGTAATTTACACGAGGGTGACTGGGGTACTGTGGGTGCTGTGATCTCCTGGAACTATTTCCATGGTAAGCATGGTCTTTACATTTGTGTTTGTCTTTAGTTTTTCTTTTTTTCTTCTTTTTTCTTCTTTTTTCTTGCTCTTGCCCCTCTCCTCTTTTTCTCAATCCTTGATTTTACTCTTTTTTTTTTTTTTTTTTTTTTTTTTTTTTTTTACCACAATTTTTTTTTTTTGTTTGGTCTATCCTTTTTTTTTTTTTTTTTTTTTTTTTTTTTTTTTTTTTACTATTTGCCCTAAAACATTTATCTTCTTCAGTTTGGTCCCTTTTTGACTTTTTTCTTCCTGCCTTTTATTTTTTTCATTTTGGTTCCTCATTGCCCTGCTAACATAAGGTTTTCCTCGAATATGGCCCTATATGAGGATCTATTTCCTCTCCGCCTATCCAATACTCTTTTCTTAATTATGTATCTTCTAAATAAGAGCCAAACACACAAGTGCATAGCATTTGCTTTTCAACTAGTATATACTAAAAGAGCAATGATATACATGATGAAAAAATTTGTTGCAAATATCATGAATGCATACATGTCAAAATCCGTAAAACTAATATTGTTGTTTTGTCTTATCTTTTTTAAAACGTCTAATAGCATCTAATCTATTACAATGCAAAATCAGTGTGCCAATGTTAAATTTAGCATTTAAGTGACAAAATCGCTCTCCAATGTAATGTGCCAAATTTATTATCTACTACTTGTGTCAAATTTGCCTCCAAGGATTGCATACCGTAAGTTTGATATTTGATATTTTTAGTTGATGTGTTTACTTTTTTATTTCGTTATTGTGATATTTATATTTTTAAATTAGTTTAGAACGTAAATGTTTACTTTAATTTACAACTTTTAAAGTTTAATGATTGTGAAAAAAAAAAGTGGACTCAGTATTTAAAATAGCATTATATATTAGAACACAAATAAAAATAATATATGTAACCATCACACTTTTTAATGCCAAATGTGCAATTGGAGATTCTAACAAGTTATATTTTAGTTTCATGAATGTCATTTTGTTTTTCAAGATGTGCATAAACGTTTTCCTCATTATTTTTCTCCTTTACCTGCTTCATATAAAATGATCTGAGACAGAATAGTTTGCTCGTTGTACTCGCATTTGATGATCATTCATACCCTTTTAAATTTTCATGGTAATCAAATAATTCAACTTTTTTCATATAATGAATGTGTATAATACTCTAATTAATTCATGAATGCAATATGTAAGTATAACATGTATAGCTCAACATAATATTTATACTGCAAGTGATTCTCATGTATATGCGAAATATTGCACTAGATGGGAAACCTAGAGTTGCAAAGCAAATAATTGAAGCCATAGACGAAAAAAAGAATTCAATCACTTTCAGAATGCTTGAAGGAGACCTTATGGAGCATTTCACTAGCTTTGTAATCACCATTCAAGGAAATCCCAAAATTGGTGGTAAGGGCAGCATTATCCACTGGCATCTTGAATATGAAAAGAAGCACGGTGAAATTGTAGATCCCCATACATTGGTTGAGTTCTTTGTTGAACTCTCGAAAGACCTCGAAACTCATCTTCTCGAGGATGATGTCTTTGGTAAGCTTGAGACGGATGTCGAAATCAAGGCTTCTCCTAGTAAGTTCCATCACATGTTCAAACACAAACCTCATCACATATCCAATGTGTCCTCTGACAAAATTCAAGGTTGTGATTTACACGAGGGTGAATGGGGAACTGTAGGAGCTGTTCTCTACTGGAACTACTTCCATGGTAAGATGATATATATATATATATATATAATATGAGTGTATTTGTGTCTACATATACGTATGTAAAATTTGTAAAATCTGTAAAACTAAAATCATTATTGTGTCTCATCTTTTAAACAGTTAACAAGTTATATTTTAGTTTCATATAGCGCCATTTACAAAATCGATTTTCATGATATGTATTATTTCCCTTATAATTTCTCTCCATACGTCCTTATTTTAAATGATTTACTCGTATCTGCTGATTATTCGTACTCCTTTAATTTTAATCGTGAATATATAGTAGTATTCTTAATTATCTGAGAATTAACGTGTATAACACGTGAAATATTGTAGATGGGAAACCTTGTGTTGCAAAGGAAATAGTTGAAGCCGTAGACGACGAGAAGAATTCAATCACTTTCAGAGTGATTGAAGGAGACCTTATGGAGCATTTCAACAGCTTTGTAGTCACTATTCAAGCAAATCCCAAAGTTGGTGGCGAGGGCAGCATTGTCCATTGGACTCTGGAGTACGAAAAGAAGCATGGGGAGATTGTAGATCCCCATACATTGCTCGAGTTCGTTGCTGATGTCTCCAAAGATCTTGAAACTCATCTTCTGGAGGAGGATTAGCAAGATTATATATATATATATATATATATATATATATATATATATGCGTGTGTACTAAATCAAATAAGTGAGCATGTATACATGCATGTTCACCGTTTGTCTTCTATGTGTTTTGGAATTGCTTCGCGTGTTTATATTCCAGCTTTCAGGGCAGTTTCAAGCCTTTATGTTGGGCATGATCTGTCTTATTGGTGATAATATGTGAAGTTAAAAAAATATGTGTGATTGGTGAAAGATCTCCAAAATCATTACAGCTTAATGCATATGTCTCTTTCTTTCATGTTTTTTAATTGAAGCAACCTCCAATCTAATTACGTTTTTATCAGTGGTTATTACCACTAAATATAAAAATTTATTGGCCTGGTAAAAATTCAATTTCATTAATTGTGATATATATTTTTTTTATCAACTATCCAATTTATTATAATCATCATATCAATATCACATTATTTTTATCGAGTAAAAATCGAACTTAAACTGCCACCATAGTAAATTTGTTTTAGCTCTCCCTTCAAATAATTTCTTGATGCTAGTTGTGATTCACTCTCATTATTAAAATAAAGTTTAGGGGAAAAAAACAGGCAGTAGAACTTCTAAAACATTTAATTTTGTACACATAAATACTGGGAAAATTTGCACCCGAAACTCAGTGATATTATACAAAATATCATGAAACATAACCTAAACTCATAACAAAATATCGCGAACACAAGTGCACATTCTCATTGTCAAGTAATAAAGTTCGTATAAACGAGTATCGTCTTACGAGAATTGATTGATATTAACTGTCAAAATTATGTTAACTCTAACTTTATTCGAATAAGTTGAAAAGGAGAGAGTTTTAATGAAAATTAAAATAAATAATTTATCTATAAATGAGAGCAATTATGAAGAGAAGAAAAATTTAATAAGAACGATGTCTAGGATTTCTGATTTTACCAAATCATTATGCTTTGAATCATCTATCTAATCAGTCTCAAATTATTCTTCTCGTTGACAGTCGAAAATCCGTAATTTATTCAATGCTCTATTCTGAGTTATACTAAAAATCCCATAATTATTGACCCACTATATTCCTATGTAAATTATAGCAATTAAAAAGTCATTAAGATCCGGAAATTTTCATATAGCAACCATACAAATTATGACAGTATATATTCCTACCTCACATGCAATCTATATGGTATTAAGAATAATGAATTTGACACATAATTCCCCTTCCAGTTCTATTATAGTTAACCTATCGTCTAATTAGTGACTAATTAATTAGAAGTATTAAGCACAGTGATAAGTACTCAACTAGAGAAAATAATCCCTATTTCAATCCTAAAAAGTCCTATTTAATCCTTAAAAAAACCCTTATTCAATCCTAAAAATGCCTATTTAAAGGTCCTAAGACGTAATGGCTTTTTTTTTTTTTTTTTTTGGTAATTTTTCAGAAGTGAAAACGGCATTTTTTGCCCAAGAAATTGAAGTAGCGTCGCGGCCCTACTTCATTGGCGCTGCAATGCTGCACGGAACGAAGGGGCTGCAACGCTAGATAGAGAAAAAACGTAGCGCAGTGGCGCTACATGTCTATGAGATGGCTGTTGCATTTCTATTTGAAGACCATGGCGGTGCTTGATGGAGCTGCGGCTCTAATTTCTAAATGCAAAGTTTCCACACCATTTCATCTCCAGATTGTCTCAAAGTCATCAAAGAGTGCCATTCTTGTCCTAATCTACAAAACAAGATAGAAAAACATGTCAAAATACTAAACACCTCAAGAACAACCTAATGTCAAGTTTAGAGCATGTGATTGTGAATATAAATCCTCTTATTAAATACCCCCGAACTTAACATTTTGCTAATCCTCGTGCAAAAGAAAGAAAAAGAAAAGAAAGAACGTTAAACATAAAGTAAAGAAAAACAACAAGTGGGTGGCAATTTATCTTGATTTACCAAATTGGCCTCAGAGATTTCACAAAATTTGTAGCTCAAGAAAACTTTCAGATAGCATGATTGCATAGAATTTCAACTTAAATGTCAATCTTCATCCCACCTTAGACTCCATGAGTGTGTCTGAATAGCCTTTCATATTCAACCTTTCGCACTTGGATCAGTTGATGCAACTAAGTCTGTCAGAAGTGGATCTCTAGATAATGGAGTTTTACCACTATGTAAGCCCGCTTTTCATGTCACTCTGTACTAACATAGATCAATCACAACACCAAGGATCATTTGAACTTTAATTGGCTTGCAATGGCTTGGGTTCAAGGTAGGATAGAGTTGTTAATTATGGCTCAATTTAACCAAAAACACATGATCATTTTAAGACCTTTCAAAGAGCTTCTTTAATTCTCTTGATCACAATTCCAAACTTATTGTTAACCCTCTTTTGTCAAACACTTTATCTTTTTCTTCTAGCAAGGAGTTTGGTGGCGTTGCTCCAACGAGATTGGGTGCAGGCCGAGCACCTACAATTTGCATACGGAGCAACCATGATAAACTTTCCATTACAGTTACGGCCAAACTCTTTGTCAACTTCGGAAAGATGGCTGATGGTTTTGCTCCATCAGGATTGAGTGTACAAACTTCCTAAAGAGCACGTCGTACAGGAGCAATTGGCAAAATGTCACTACGTTCAGCTATAAATATCCCTCATCTTCTTTATTCAACCCATGAGTGAAAAACACAATTTTCTCTCTCATTTGCCAAAACTCTGGTTATTTTTCTTCAGGTTTCTTCAAGTCTTTTACACTAAAGGCTTAGAGTTCTTCGAGTTCTTCAAGTTCTTGAGGGGCTGTTCAGTTTCTAAGTGTTGATAGTCTGTAAACTCCTCCAAAACTCCTGTTCTTTCATCCATCACTTAAGAATGTTTGAAGTTTCTTCATACTTTTTTTAAAAACACTCATGTCTTCATCCTCAGAGTAACTTTCGCTCATTGTCAGAGCAAGTGTTTCGAGCCACATTTTCGCTCTTGAAGTAGTATGTGCCTGCCTTTAGAGCTTTGCTCTATCATGCCTTATCCTAGCCTCATGAGTCACTCTCACTCTCAGAGCAGCCTGTGTATGACTCTTGAGCACCGCTCTATTAAGGCCTTGACCAGCCTCCAAACTTCATCTCCATTAACTATTTGATCACTCCTCCCATTATTCGTCATCTACGTAGTTCTTTACATATATATTTTTCGAGTTATCTAACATTTTTACAGAGGCATTTTAGACATTTGGTAAAATAGTGTGCCTTAGGATCCGTTTTGTTCGGTTCTCTTCGAGCCTAATCGTTACCATCTCTCTGTTAGAGGTCCCACCATCTTCATCTACTTCGAACATTGCTAAGTACTTTAGAAATGTAAGATCCAACACCGATGAATTGTATACTTACGCGTGTCAACTCCTAACACGTCATACCTCCTAGATCTAGGGACCCCAACACACCTTTATTTATTACTTTTAACTATACATTATTACTTCATTTTTTATTTATTGTTTTAACTTTAAAAACTCAAATATATAAAAGTTGCAAAACAATATAATATACTAAAAAAAGTATGTGAGATTTGTAGTATGTATTACTTTTCTATTTTACTTTTAAAATTTTTTGTCAACTGAAGCTCTTAAAATATATTTCTGGCTCCTCACATAAATAATAATATTTTATTCATTTTATCGATTTAAATTTAAAATTTAAGTTTTGTTACAGTAAAACGTTTTTAAAATAGTCACATTTAATTTTTTATTACAATAAATTTTTTTTTACATAAAGTCATATCTCAACTCAAATTAAAAAATTAAATCAGCGAACAAATCGGACCTAAAAACATTTATAAAAATGAGATTTTTTTTTTTAAGTGTCGTTTCATTAAGCGGTTTCACTATCCTTTTTGGTTTTTTTTTTAAAATTATTGTGCCTTATCTGACACTTCATAGATTGGGATGTCAATCAATCCGCAGTGTATTAATTGTGCTTCGCTTTTTTTTTTTTTTTTTTTTTGCTTATTAAATGAGAATTTCAGCTTGCCTCTTTAATTAATAAATAGGATGTTTATTTAAAGGATTTGTTTTTTATTTTAAATTATGGTTTTTAATTCATAAAAAAATTTAAATTTTAAAAATTATAATTATTCTTTATAATTTTAAATTTTTGAATTAAACGTCCTATAAATAAATGATGCAGGAAAGAAATATTGGATCCCCACATTTTAACGATGATGTTGCTTTGTTTTGCTTTGTTTTTTTTTTTTACCATCTTTTTCCTTATTATAAGAGCTAATAAGCACGTTTAGAATTCGTTTTAAAATAATTTTATTTTTATATAAAAATAAAATTTTTAGTAATCTCATAAAAAAATTATTTTTAAAAATGTGTTTAGTACTTTTATCTAAAAATTATTTTCAATATAAAAAATTTCATTAATATATATTTCTTTTGGTGTGCTCGAGAAATGAGAAAATGAAAATAAAAAATAAAAAACGATTAAAAATTATTTTTCATTTCTTTCTCATTTTACACTAAACCAAAAAATCGTTTTCATTTTCATTTTTTGTCTTTATTAGGTCAAACACCGTTTTGGAAACGTTTTCATTTTTCTTTTTCAAAAAACGTAAAAAATAAAAACGGAATCAATTCCAAACACGGTCTGTATTTCTTGTTTCCCTATTTTTCCTTCTTATAGGAGGTAGTGTTTCTGCAAGAACTTACTTGTCAGTTGTAAATATACAATTATACACTCAAAATAATAATAACAAAAGGCATTATAATAAAAAAAACAAAAACAAAAAAAGCATGCTTGTGTTCAACAAAATAATATAATAATAACACCACAAGATCCATTTTTATTGTACTTAAAAACTAAAGTAACAAGTAGATAACATTTTTTTTCTTAACTATCTCAAGTTCTCAACTCTTAATTTTCAAGTATTTATCTCTAATTTTAAATAAAAGTACTGCCATTGTAAATTAAATGCTACTAAAACATATATAGGAAACAAGACAAATACCTCTTAAAATACATAAGTT